AAAAAAAAAAAAAAGGAAAATAACTATGATTAAATAGAGCTTATGAGAATGTACAGATGGTTCCAGATCCATCTCATAATAGGGTGGAACAGAAAAACCATATGACTATTGACAGAGACACTGAAGAGGCATGTGGCAACATTTGTGACCCATGTGTGCTAAACACAGTCAAGTGGGACTGGAGTGAGTATATTCCAAAGTGGAAGGGGTAGCAGGGGACCCATGGGGTCTCTAGTCAGAGGGAATGGCCAAAAGGGCACTCTTGGGCAAGAAGCCACCAGATGCCCAAGAATAGGAGAGGAAGAGGAAAAACTGCATCTGGCTGCAAATGATAGAAGGGACTATATGAAAACCCATGAGAACTGAGAGATAGACTACCACAAATAAGAAAGTCAGTAAGTTACAGGGACATAATACTACCATACAAACATCAGCACTAAAAACACAAAATTAAAAGTCATCTTAGTGGGTGGTGCCCATAGCTCAGTGGGTAGGGCGCTGGCCACATACACCAAGGGTGGCGGGTTTGGACTTGGCCTGCACCAGCTAAAAAAAAACAATGACAACTGCAACAACAACAACAAAAAAGTTTGAGAGCAGCCTGAGCTAGAGCAAGACCCCATCTCTAAAAATTCCTAGGCGTTGTGGTGGGTGCTGCTAGTGCCAGCTACTTGGGAGGCTGAGGCAAGAGAATCGCTTGAGCCCAAGAGTTTGAGGTTGCTGTGAGCTGTGACACCAGAGCACTCTACTGACGGTAACAGCTTGAGACTCTGTCTCAAAAAAAGTCATCTTAGTGAGAAATGCTCCAAACTAGTGGTGAGTCTTAGGAGTTCCTAGGGCCGGGAGTATTCTGTGGCTCTTAGTTGGACCCAGATACATGAATGTGTTCACTCTGAAAGTGTTCACATCTCATTTGTGTACTGTTCTGCATGTAAGCAGCATGTTATCACTGGAGAAAAGCACTTTTTAAAACTATAGGAAAGCCTACTTGAGGCATACAAGGTAAATGTTAAAACATTTCTAAAAGGTACAAACGGGAGTCTAGGACAAGGTTAGTGTATAGGACAACTCAGCAACATAAAGGTTTTTTTTTTGGAGACAAGGTCTTGCTCTGTTGCCTGGGCTAGAGTGCAGTGGTATCATCACAGCTCACTACAACCTCAAATTCCTGGGTTCAAGTAATCCTCCTGCCTTAGCCTCCTGAGTAGTTAGGACTACAGGTATGCATCGTGATGCCCAGCTAATTTTTCTTTTTTTGGAGAGATAGGATTTCGCTATATTGTCCAGGTTGGTCTCAAACTCTTGGCTTCAAGAGATCGTTCCACCTCAGCTTCCCAAATTGCTATGATTACTACCATGAGCCACTGTGTCCAGCCTATAAAGGTGTTAATTTTTCCTAATCAACTTATAAATTCTGTGCAGACATATGGAGCTAAAGTCCATAAGGAAAGTGAAACAAGCAAAAATCACTAGGGAAACCAGGAAAGTGAAGAGCCATAGGTATGTGGGGGGGAGTTAGAGTGTGGCCCATGATGTGTAAAACTAGAATAAAGCCTCTAGTTAAAACATGGCCTAGCTGTGTGGACAGACAAAAAGAAGTGAGAAAAATGAGCAGAAGACAGCTAGTGTCCAGAAAAAGAAATATAATGAGCACTCAGACATAGGAAACATGCCTCCATCTTGTTTTTAACAAGAGAATAGCAGATTCAAGTGGCACAGAGATCCCGTCCTTGCCTCTGCTCTCTGGTTGGAGGACATTTGAAAGTTCACCTGC